ATAGGATAGAATAATGTGAATTACAGTTAAGTCAACAAAGCTAAAAGTGAATTAAAAAAGTTTTATGACCGTATAACACGGCGTAAAAGAGAAAAGAAAGACATGCCTATATTTCCAGATATTTCCTCTTCTCACCTCTCATCCTAACCCTTTCTGAGGGGTGGGCAATGGACCTGGTGCAGTCCATTATGATGACCAATCATCATCTAATGACAATCCAAAGGATTCAGTTCAAACCATGGTAAGGTTGCTCATACTGTAGCATGAAGCTTCAGTAGTGTTGCTGAGATTACCTGCAGTTTGATATAACTCACATACTGTTTGTGGTGTATACATGTAGAATTTTAATATCTACCTGCCATAAACAATTATTTGTATTGTCTTTTAACTTCACTTGAAAAATAACAAAAACAATAACAAAATATACTACAAATATATAACTAAGTGGGAGGAAACAGTTACAATGCATGCCAGTCCAATTTTTCTGTGACGCCTGATATCCCCTACAATCTGTTAACCGTCCCCCCAAAACCTCCGCACACCTGCATTACTGAAGTAGAAAATACAGCACCATCTGTAACCACATCCTTAACCTACCCTAGCTCTACCAACCACAGTCGAAAATACAACACTTTTCCTGACTATATAGTTTTCATGAGCGCCATCACTCACCGGGCAGAAGTAGGAGTTCTCAGCGATGTAACGTGCCACTGCCTCGTGGCTGGCCGAGGCCGCCATGACCAGCAGCAGCGCGTCTCTGGCCTGCTGTCCGATGGCTCCGTCCCGGTGGATGAATGGCACGAGAAGGGAGAAGATCAGCAGATTGGTGGAGCCCTGCTGAGCCGGTGCTGCCCGGAACAACATCTCTAGAACCACCGGCTGCCGGGCCATGGACACACAGACCTGGTGGGGATTTACAAAGTCACAATTAAAAACACGAGGAAAGTGTGGTCCATAATCTTTTCAAATAATAATCCATTTTCCAAGTGAGCTAGACGCCAGTTTAAACCACGGTTGTGTGCAACTGCACCGCTAGAGTCCACTAAATCCTACACTGGTCCTTTAACTAACTGCTTTATAAAACTGTAACAAGCATGGCCATTATGAATACCTGCAGTGTAATATTTTGTGAGCAGAACAATGTTTAAGGTGTCCTGTTATATGATTTTAACAGAAAGCCAGCTAATCTGAAACAAGCACTTTCAATGGCCTCTATGTAATTAATGATGCAAGCAGGACAGGGTAACATTCAAAACACTTTCTCCTGAACTTAACAAAGCTCCCAGTTTCAAACTTGTAAGTCAGGGAGACCATAAAGTTAGCTGGACACACACTGTGATTGTTGAGCCAAATGATAGTTATTTGGCTGTCACATCTGTTTGGTGTTCAATCATTCTAATAATTTGCCTTCTCCAGAGGCTGCTTTCCCCCCTCAAGTTTGATTTTTAGGGCTGGAACTGGGGCAGTCAACTTAGTGGGAGAAAAAAAAATAGTGTGGTATACCGTGAATGAAAATGATTCCATAATTCAGTTCATCAGGTTTTAGTGCAAAGCTTGTATAAAATTTATGACCAAATGTTCTTTCCTTTTGCCTTTTACATGCACACTGCAGCTGAATTAGCTGGGTAAACTTCCTGCAGTGCTATTCAAAGCTTTAGATTGCATTAAGCTGGCTCTAAGGCCAACGACAAGCTCTTATGTAGTTTGTAACTATATATACACTGTATACAGACCGTAGGTGAACATACCTGATTGAGCAGCAGTACCAGGCTGTTTTCCAGGGCTGAAGGACAACCAAGTTCTGGGTCGGCACAAGCTCCCAGCAGCCTCAGCAGGGGGTGGAGGACGGCTGTGTGTTGCAGCAGAGGCTGCTGGGACTGGCCGATGAGCATCTCAAACAGCTTGAGCAGCGCCCCCTGGCTGTCTGGATCCAGGCCGCGGCGGAGGTGCCACTGAACCAGGCACTCCAGAATATTCTCGGTGACCACCAGCTCCAGTATGGGGCCCATGGGTGGCACGCCGCCGCCCTCTGGGCTCTCGGCAGGTCGCTCCTCTGCCAGCAGACATAACATTTGGTCGGTGTGATTCCTTACTGCCGTCAGGTCATCGCTGGAGGACGAGGGCTCGTGCTTTTCCAACACCCAAGAGACCTGGATAAAGGAACAGCGTTTCAGTGCAATGCTTACATGAGGTCTTTACACTGCTGTCCTTCTGTGAGGTGTGTGACCTCTAACAGACATTTCACTCAGGTTCAGTTCAGACCAGGCTTTGAATTCAGGCATATTAGACTTTAAGTTCATTAATCTGGACAGTTTGACAAGTCACAGTGTGAAAAACGCAACGTGGAGCATTTTATGGATGCATATTACAGCTGTCAGTGATTACACAAAATGATGATGATTGAACTATTAAATGTTACACAGGGAGTAGTGAATGGATGAACAACTTAACAAGGGGGTGATTTTGGACGCGGCTAATGCCATGGCATACTGAGCCTCTTGATTAAAACACAGCCTTTGTTCATATTAGAAGTAACTCCTGTGCTTTTTCTTTTAGGTCAAAAAGGCTGCTGTGAATAATGTGTTGGCTGTATTTTCTACCCTTAATATATTAAAAAACTAGATATTATAGATGCATCTACTTTAAATCTTTACAAAATAATTGAATTAATTTACTGAAACCTTAAAAGCATTGACTGATATTATATATGCTGTAAACGGTTATCACTGGCACTGCAACACGGTTATTTAAAAAATGTTTTAACAACATTGCGTAATAGTGGTTTAGAAAATAAACATGACAAATTAAGAGAGGTTTCACAACATTTATCACAAGCTGGATCAGTCAGCATGATGATTTTGCAGAGTGGCTTGTGCAGATAAGAGATGTGCTCCTTTGTGTTTCAGCAGTTTGAAGTGTGTTGGAATGTGTGAGCTGGAGGCCAGAGCCCACTTAAAGGACTATGCTGCTAGGAACCAGTGTGGTGGATGCTGCGCAACTCATATTTGTGTACACACGTGTTCCATTTCATATCTTTGTTTATGCTTCATATTCACTGAGATGCAGCTGGACAATTGAGACGTACACCTATACCCTGCTTTTAAAAACTATGAAAAGAGTTTAAAATATTGATAGTTTTCTTTCACCCCAAACACATGCATGTTAGGTACAGTACTATGGATCCTGCAGATAGATGTAGGAGTGCTTTTGTGGATATGTTGTAATTCAATTGCAACATATCCACCTCCGACCTCAGTCTCATGCTGCCTCCGAGAAAATTCAACAGTCAGGCAGTGGCAAGGCTCTGTAGCCTATAAAACCTCCAGCTAGTGATTGGACACGAGCCAGTCACATTGTTAAAGTAGACTGACTGACTACTCTCACCAGCAACAGCCAACTGAACGTGTGAACATTCACACTTTGTGTCTGGACAGAAAATCATTCGCTAAACAAGGAAAGAGCCTTAAAATTCTGACTGGTCTCGTTATTGTTGACCAAAGGTGATCATTTACTTTGTATCAAAACATGCAAATATTTTCTCAACCATTGTAAATGACTTTGGTAGCACAGGGCTGTAACAGGTTTAATTCTTCACTTGTCAAACTTTTTTTGCTCCTTGATTAAGTCATTAATCAAGCTCCCCTTCCCCTCCTCACCCCACAGACAAACCAAGGGGCCGTCCACCAGATACGGTTTTTTCGAATCCGGATAAATACTGTATCGTATCGGCCTCGCGTCCAGACAGATACGGCGTTTTCGGGGTGTGAAAACGGTATTTTTTGAAAACGGCTCCCTAACCCAAGACAACTGTGACTGACAACTTCAGCCTATATTTCGTTAACATTTTAGGAAAATCAGCCACATTAAAGGTTTGCCAAGCCAGCTATTAGCAAAACCAGTCCCGAGGGTAGCCATTAATGTACAGACGACGATCACTGGACTATTTAGATACTGAAGAAACAACAACAACAACAACAAAAAAACTTGATGATTCTCAGGAAAGTACATCTTTTCACCTTCAAGGACGTTATGTTTGTTCAGTTCGTTTATCTGTCAGCAGGGTTACAGACAAACTCCTGGCTCGATTCATCAGACTTGGTGGAAGGGTGTAGCACGGGCCAACCACGGGGAAGACACACAAATTATTTATTCACTTTGGTTGACATTAAGTCAATTGTAACACCCTATGGCAAACTGAACTGAATTCATGGTCGAACCCATCACAATTGAAGTGAATGGTGTGCCGTGATTAGATATACAACACAACAACAGAATACAAACAGCCGACTCAAACATCCCGGTAGAAACAAAACAGCTTGCTGGAGGTCTGTGCTCTCTGCCTGCCCTTCTAGTTATCTACAAAGTCTAAGTGGATTTATGGATGTCTATTTGCCATAACATCAGAAATAATGATACCCGCTGAAATCCTCCTGTGTGAGTGTTCAGATCTGAAATGAGTGATGACTCAGAGAAGAAGGAGTGTAAAGTAGACAGCTCTCCGTGGGGAGTTACGCCTCACAGTTTGAAATCCTCTGGGTTAAAGAGAGTTTTGTTTGAGTTTCGACTTTGCTCTTTTGGTCGTTATTTCTAACGCTTGCAAACAAAAAACCAAAAAAAACACTCAATTCCCTGCACTCAGGGAATGCAGCAATATTGGTGCCAACAGCTTTCAAAAGAAGCATGAAGACATTTACATTAAAAAAATAATGTAATGCCCATTTTAGTTTAAACTACTTATTTGATTATCTACTGCATGCACACAGTTACAGTAAGTACTATCAATTAAGTGGTTAGGATAATATTGTGTACTAATAATACTGTGTGGTTGCCCTGTGCACTTCATGGTAAATCGGAGTATAGCAGACATGCAGGTTGTGTACGATATGTTATATTATCACAACAACGTGTGTCATTTCATCTAGATTCGAGAGAGGCGGTGTGTCTGTAGCTCACCTGTCTCCAGTGGTTCTCAAACACCATGAGGCAGGTCTCCGGGTCAGCAGTGCAGGGGCTGGAGGGGGCGGCGCTCCGGCCGGACCGACTCCCAGGACCCCGCGGATTCAACCTGCTCAGCCAGCTCATACTGGACCCAGTGAGAGGTCACAAGAACTCAAAGGCGAGAGGAGGAGTTCCGGTTTTAAAAGAAAGAGTAGAGTATAGACGCAACAGAGAAATTAGATAGGGAATAAAAGGAAAAGATGATGAGGGAAGGAGGAGGAGAGGGGGGGAAGAGGGGGTGAAAGGGGAGGGAAAGTGTATCCGAACAGAGAGAAGGAGGGGAAGGAGGTCAGCTGCAAACGCGCTGTCACTGCCAGTCAGTGTACGTCTAGGAAAAGCCCGCTGCTGCTTTAGAATCTGTGTGACCCTGTCCTCCCTGTAGACCCTGTCATCCAGTCTGAAGCCAACACCACTCCATAGCCAGTCAGGACGGGCACTCTGCGCTGTGTAAACAAAACAAAAAACATCCACATCAACAAGCAAACCCGAACACAAGTATTTTCCATGTGAATATTACTGTGAATATCTGGCCGTACTTCGGCTCTGAAAATGTAATGCAACAGCCTTTTTTTACCCCACAATTACACGTCTGAAGCCCACCATGTCAATAAAATTCTGAAAGTGTATTATTCATGCCTGCAGGTGGAAAACATTCACCGTATTTTGAATTTCGCATCTTGTGATTTTCTCTAAAGGTTTCTTTTTTTTTAATAATTATTGTTGGGTTTATTTATGCCTATTATTTTATAGAGACAGCTGAAGACAGACGGGACAAAGGGGGCAGAGAGAGAGAGGGGATGACATTCAGCAAAGGGCCGCTGCGGTAAGGACTTAGCCTTGGTACAGGAGGCACGCGCTCTACAGAGCACCTCCTCTGAACATTTCTATAGAGAAAATAACATGATGGGAATGTTGGCTAATCCCGGAAATGAAATGTAATTTATCATTTTTATAAGTAGTATTTCCTCACAGCAGCCCTACTCATTCATTTTAAGTTTAACCTGAAATTAATACATATTAAAGTGACAGTTACCTCAGTCAAACGGCTAAATCTCCCTCTAACCCTACCAAACATAAATAATATAATATATATATATACCACTTGTGCTTCAGAGCGTCTGTGTTTTTCCTGTGTTTTCCTAAACAAACATAAGTCAGCCTCTACAGTATGTTGTTGCCAGGGAAACCATTGGGTCCTTGTGTGGAAACGCTACGGCCGGTCCACCTCCTGCTTAACACGGGCGTAACTGTCTGTCCTGGATGCAAATTTCTAGCAATTACGTTGCTTCAATCATCTGCCGGGTTAACGACAGATTAATCGTTTAAGCTTATTAAAATATAGACGCGTGCTTTTATCCGATGAAAGCTTTACTTAGACAGCTGACACGGGTGACTTTACCCCTACAGCGATTGTAAATTCACTGTTTGAATCATAACTATTCAAATAAAACAAATTGCCACCCACTCGAAACTGCACTGGTTAATGGAGCTTAAAACCTATTCCTGTGGAGGTGTTTGCTTTGATTCCTAAGACGGCTCTGATCGTTCCGGCGAGGCTGAAAAAGGTTAATGCCAAACTGCTTTTAAGGGAGTGTAGATAAATCTGCCTTAAAGTAGGTGATACGGACTAAAGTCATATGACTTGGACTTGGGTCAGACACTTAGAGGTCTGATGACTTCTGACTGACTAGACTTCCCTAAATCAATAAGACTCTGTGCTTTTCTTTATTGAATTTTTCATCCAGCGGCTGTAAGAGTCTCTCAACACAAACAGGACGGTAAGAAGGTAAAATGTAACGTCCACACTTCAATGATTCACCAGCCCCGAGCAGATGAGTCAAAGTTAATGATACGTATTGTTGTTGCTCTGAGAAAACAGCGTCCTTACTGTGAATGCACTAATGAATCCACACCCACACATGAAGGAGTCAAAATACCAGAAAGTATGCCTATGATTCATCATAAATGCAATTACCTTAAAAGCGCCTAAGCCAGTCCGCCTCTGTGTTTACAGCAAAACTTTCTGATCATGACATTCAGGACTCGCATACGGAAATTCTAAATGTGTCAGGTCACACACACGGCTTCTCATAAAAACTCATAAAACCGGTTCAAAGTTCAACTATAGATTCCACTAAAGGGAGGCTGCCTCCATAAAGGAAAGAGTTTGTCAAAGGTTAGTGATCAAACACAGCGTACCACAGCTTGACTTGACTGTTGTGATCTCACACCAAAGTCCACAGGCCAAAGTACTCCCTTACAAGTTGAGACGGACTGAAAGTGGAGAAAAGGCTGCCAGTGTTTCTGACTTCCTGCGACGGACACACCGACAGCCACGCCTGCTTTCTGCAGGAACGGTCCAGGTGTGCACAGGTCTCTGCAAACACTGTCCTTCACATTCCTCACATTTCTAACTCCTGTCTGTTTTTGCTGTTGAACTTCACTGATCACTTCTGACGAATGCGGCATGAATTCAGATGGAGTTCAGAAGAGCAGCTGTGACAGATACGGAGCTGATACAGACTGCGCCTTCATCCAGTGAGCATTTCTAAGCCAGCGGCGAAGCTAATCTTAAACACACACCAGAAAATGCACCCGTGTGCCAACCATAAATGCAATACTGTATTTCCTCTAGCCTATTTAATGATCTCTTCTACCAACAAACACATCTGTTCTGTAACCACAGCGCCTCACCATGACAACCAGCTTCACGACCCACCTTTAAAAGCGGTCTCTATTTAAAAAAAGTATGTATAACTTTTATTTTTTATCCGTAATCCAACTGTACTTTACGCAGACTTCAGCCTGAAACGTGAACTAATCAGACAAAACACGTCTTCAGACTGACTTACTTTCACATCAGTTCTGTGGAGATGAAGTCAGTGAAACAGAACAAACGTCACATGAATCAGTTTGTCATTTCGATTTAACGTGAAGCTGTATAAGAACGTTGCCTACATACAGTCTAGGACCGCAGCTTTGAAACTTACTTTAGATCAATGGATTAACTGTGTGGTCTATAAAATGACAGAAAACTGTGAAAACTTCACAATTTCCCAGAGCGCAAAGGGGCAAATCTAAATGATTTGTTTTGTGAGACCATGGCAGAGATTGAGAAAACCAACTAATATTCACTATGGATAAACTGGAACAAACTTCTATCTTCTTATAGGCATTCCTGCTTATAGAATCAATCATTAATTCAATCAATATATCATCAATTCTCTAATTTGTTGCAGATTAACCTTGGTGGACTGACCAGCCGGCTCACCTCTAATGCAATATTAAATATTTGGGCATGGAAGTTCAGTCTTGACCTTGCTAATGAAAGCCGTGAGACGCTTTGTAACGGACCTTGGGTTTGACAAAGTGAACTCAAAGTCCTTTCACAATAATTTACAGCAGAAATATGTCCTTAAAGATCCGTACTTAAAGGTTTTCACTGACACATTTCTGTCAGCACTCAAAGAGCACTCAGCAACTCAACCATACCCAGCCGCACACAGGAGCGGATTCAGATTTCTGTCAGAATACCATTTGGTTAATGTAACTTGAGCATTTGCTTTTGATCAACAGAACTGCTCCACTATTTATCAGGAGCATTAAATAACAGGTTATTGCACAATTAAGTGTTGTTGACACAGCTGACAAGGTACAGATGACCGAATCCCTCTCTGTGAGTGGCTCTGAGGCAGAACAATGCCCAGCACTCATTTCATTTAGGACGTTCACAGATGCAATCATGAAGTGAGACATCAGTCACTGCGGTGTTTCGGGTCATGTGTCACACTGTTGGAACAGTAACGTTACGACCTTTTGCTTTTGAACTGACTGGCTAATTAACGGTATATTAATAGTATCTGGGCTTTACACCTGATCTTGAAGTCCTCACCCTGCCCCTGATCTCACATTAGCCAACCGAAGCGGCTTACGTTATGGTCCGCCGGAAAACAACAATCAATGCGAGTCAATGGCGAGATGATACGGCAGGCTAGTTGATGCTGGAGAGATAATTAGCTAGCGTAGAAAATGTCAACCATGTAATATAGTTAATTCGCCAAGCTGAAGTGGCTCGTAGGTGAGGCACTTCGGTTGCTGCTTACCTCGGATATTTCTCGGAGTGTCAACAGTTGCTGTGAGGTGCAGATTTCCACGGATACCTGCTAGCTGGTTGCTACTAAGTTAGCGCCAGTGGGTTGCTAACGACTAGCAGCTAATGAGTTCCACAATGTCAGAGCAGTAAACGGACGACCAGCACGCAAGTAACCGGGAGACAACTGGCGAGCTAGACCACACTGAGCCGGGGGAGCTAACGAAAGAACCACTCCTCCTTTCGGGCTGCTGTGCATCCTGTTAGCGACTGATAAACATCCCATTTGATGATTTCTCAAACACTCTTCTCTTTCCCGCAGCCATCTTACTTTAACTCCTCCCACACGACTTCTCTGACTCACACCCACAGCGACGCTGTTCCCCTCTGCTCCGTGAAGGCTGTAAAGTGCCAAAATCAAGGAGCAAAGCACCTAATTCCATACTAAACACTGGCAAGTGAACATTGTGTACTAGTGTTGATAGGGCCCGGTAGTACAGAGAAACTGATGAATGGTGAGAGATCAGCTCTCAAACCAGCTCATGATGGACGAGCATCATTCATGGCCTTGGAAATAGTAGGTTTGAGCAACAGTTTGCTCAGTTGTCATGGAGATATATTCAGTTGAGATCTCATCCATATGACTTTGCTCATCCCATGTTGGCGTAAAGGGGCCCTTCAACATATTATTGCGCCTGCTTTGTTGGGGTTATACAGAAAGGTCTGAATTGAAGCAGGCAGAGATACCTTGACTTTTAGTCCCTATAGGTCAAGCTCCAAAAACACTGCATCCTACATCTACCCTAATGTAACTGAACAGTGTCTTTTACAGCAGTGGTGTTCAAACAGCTGGTGGGAGGAGGTCCCAAAAGGAGGAATAGAATATTTGAACTTTTATAAGCTCATTGATTGACTATGAAGACTTTAATATCTTCAAAACTAAAACAGAGAATTAGACCTACGCCTCCTCCTTCCTTCCTTAAGAATCAAACTCCTTTTAAATTGGGGGATTAGTGGTCTAACGTGCATCTGTTGTGGGGGAGACAGTTTGGGAACCCCTGTTTCACAGTACTTTACCCTCCCTGCCTCAGAAATTTAATCCATTACATTGAAACCCCCCACACTCCTTGTGACAAACAGAGTGCAGAGTGGTGTACAGAAAACAGCCTACTGCTCAATGTCAGCAAAACCAAAGAGCTGAGTGTTGATTTTAGGAACAAAAAGAGACAAAGACACACACCCCTGTTTAAATCAGTGAGACGGAGCAGGTGAATAGGTTTAAGTTCCTGGGAATCAACATCACAGAGAACCGGTCATGGTCATCTCACATCTCCCTGGTTAAGAAAGCACAGAAACGACTGTAGTTCTTAAGGAAACTTAAGAAAGCAAAAGGACAACAGCTGTATCCTGTTTATTGATGTGTTGAGTATATGCTGTGGTCTTCCCTCCATGCGGCATGAATAAAGGAATTTGATTCA